GGGCGCGGGGCCGATCCTGCGGTTGGAGGTTGATGGGGGTCAATGCCTGAGGGCTCCCAGTATGTGAGAGGGGGCAGGCTGGGCTGAGGGACACTCCCCTTCACCCCCACCCAGTGCATGAATTTCGTGCACCGGGCCCCTAGTTAAGTTAATAAATATAAATCATTTAGAATAGTTCTTAGCACACAGTAAGGTTTCAATGAGGAACTCTTATAAATTAACAAGAAATAAAAAATCCAAGAGAAATAATCAGCAGAGTGTAGAGGGCCACCTAGGAGGCACCTAAGCATCTACACTAATAAAAGAGAAACATGGTAATTGGCGTACGACCGCTACCCTTTTCATTGGCTAATCAGCAAGATATGCAAATTAACTGTCAGCCAAGATGGCTGCCGGCAGCCAGGCAGCTTGAAACTAACATGAGGCTTGCTTGCTTCAGTGATGGAGGAAACCAACGTTCCCCGCCTGCTGCTGCAGGCCTCTGAGCAGGCAGTTTCAGAAACTCTGTAACAAATACCGCTGGACTTCAGCCAGCAGATTCGCAACATTGTATGCAAAGGCCAGAAACCTACTTTCAGTAGCAGAGGCCTAAGAGCTGGAGCCAAGCCTCAAAGATAAAGCTGGCCCAGAATAAAAAAGAAAAAAAGGAGCGGTTGGGAGCTTCAGTCACCCCCCAGCCTGAAAACAGCCCTCAGCCCCTCACCCAGACTGGACAGGCACCCCAGTGGGGACCCCACCCTGATCCAGGACACCCTTCAGAGCAAACCAGCCGGCCCCACCCATGCACCAGGCCTCTACCCTATATAGTAAAAGGGTAATATGCCTCCCAGCACCGGGATCAGAGGAGCCTCGAGGCCTCCCGGCACCGGGATCAGCATGACAGGGGGCAGCGCCCAACCCCCCTGATCTCCCTGCGGCTCTGTGTGTGACAGGGGGCGGGGCCACAACCTCCCTATCTGCCCTGCTCTGTTTGTGACAGGGAAAGGCGCCCCAACCCCCTGATCAGCCCTGCTCTGTGCCTGATAGGGGGGAGCTCCCCAACCCGCCCCCCCACGGGCCCTGCTCTGTGTGTGACAGGGTAGAGCCATAACCTCCCCATCGACCCAGCCCTGAGTGTGAGAGTGGCGGCACCCCAACCCCCTGATCGGCCCTGCTCTGTGGGTGATAGAGGGCGGTGCCCCAACCCCCTGATGGGCCCTGCTCTGTGCATGACAGGGGGCAGCGCCCCAACTCCCCAATCGGCCCTGCTCTGAGCCTGACCAGGGGCTGCACCTAGGGATTGGGCCTGCCCTCTGCCACCCGGGAGCAGGCCTAAACCAGCAGGTCGTTATCTCCTGAGGGGTCCCAGACTGCGAGAGGGCACAGGCCGGGCTGAGGGACGCCCCCCTCCGCCCCCCCGAGTGCACAAATTTTTGTGCACTGGGCCTCTCGTTTTCTTATAATTATTGTCAGCTGAACTCAGAGCATAGGCAGAGCCACGCCCTGGGAACATGCTTCCCCAGTAAGGCTGGACATGTTAATCAGGCAGGGGCAGAACTAGATATGTAAATCTAGGCCTTTAAAATAAACCTGCTGTGTGGCTCAGCCCGCTTTTGCCGCCTCTCCATCAGAGAGGATGGCGCCCATCTGGCCCCAGCTTAAAATCTATTTCTGCATCTTGGTCTTTCTTTAATTTCTTAATCCCCAGTTCGTCCACTCAGCAGATGGACTGTTTCCTTTTCCATGCGGGACATGGAGAAGAGAGAAACAGCCCCCCACAGCAGAGAATATTGAAAGGAAATTCTGCCCTGGCCAGTTAGAGCTCTGGCCCTCAGACCAAAGGGTCCTGTGTTCCATTCCCAGTCAAGGGCACTGTCAAGGGCACATACCTGGATTAAGGTTCACTCCCCGCCCCGGGGAGAGTGTGGGAGGCAACCAACGGATGTGTCAGTCTCACAGGGATCTCTCTCTCTCTCTCTCTCTCCCTCCCTCCCTCCTTTCCACTCTCTCTAGAAATCAAAGGGGGAAAAATATCCTCTGGTAAACATTAAAGAAAAAAAAAAGGAAAATTCACAGAACATATGAATAACAAACGTAGGAAACTTAATCTTACTAATATTCAAACAAATGCAAATTAAAATATTAATTTTAATTTGTGTTTTGCCTATCAAATTGGCAAACATTTTCAAGTACCTGGAATTCTAGAATATGTGAAAACTATTGCTAGTAGAATCGTAAATTGTACTTTTAAATGACATCTGAAAATACGTATCGAAAGTCTAAAAAATATACATATCCTCTAAACAATTTCAACTTCTAGCAGTTGGACCTAAAGCAATAAATCAAAGAACGCCACAAAGACTGTCACAGTAATGTTCACTTAAACATTATTTATGAACTAATAAGCAACAATGAGGACTAGATTAAATAAATAGCAACTGATCTATAAAACACTAATTAGGCATTAACATAATGCTATAAAAGAATATTAATGGTAAGAAATGTTTAAATTTTAAAAGACTATATAGTAAGTTATAAAAAAAATTTTAAAAGACTGTAAGTCAGTAAAATATCAAATGGTTTTAAGTCAGTGGTTCCCAACGTGGGGCACACCCCCCACTGGGGGGCAATTTGATTTTTAAGGGGGGCAATTCGAGAATGAGCTATTAACAGTGAATTTTTTGCATTTCTCATGGTTCTAGGGGCCTCATATATAGTATATAAATATATATTGTGACATATTTATGCATTTCAATTCTCTATATGTCTTGAAACTTTATTTGCTATCTATTTTTTAGTTCCATATTATCTTTTAACAATTTCTTAGTGATCTCTTCCTCAGTACTTCAACTGTCCTTTCATTCTTTGATTTTTCACTTTCATGGCTGCCATGTTCTTTGGAAGCTTGTTTAGACCAAGTTAATGGACTTGTAGGCTTCTCCACGTGAATAGGAGTTCACTTTTTGAATAATAAGAATTATACGTCGCAAGGGGGGCATCAGGATTTTAGAGATGCTTAGGTGGGGCATGGCCAACAAAAAAGATTGGGAACCACTGTTTTAAGCAGTTAAATTCATATATAAAAGACATATAACAATATAAATTAGCATAATTTAAAATAAATTTCTAAGGCTATTCAATCTCAAAGAGTTACAGTTCTGTATGTTCTAGAACTATTTCAAGCTTTAAAGTAACTAACCTATCACTACTGTGTAATAATTTTAGTTGTTAAAGAAGTCCATGGCAACAACAACAAAAAAGAATGGTATCAACTGCTATGTTCAACAGCTTTTCTCAAATTTATATCCATTAAATGTTAATGGGTATAAACAACAAATAAATCAGAGGGAAGGACTTTTTATCAAATACATTTTAAAAATGCAAGAGCCTTTCTTTATATTAATGTGCACAGTAATCTGAGTCAGTACATCTTCCAAATTTCACCTCAGAAGTGACTGATTCTACATCCTAAATAAATGGAATTTGGTCACCTCTTAATTCAAAGGGGTAGAGTGGCTCCCTAGTTCCCAAGATGATGGTGAGTACAATGGTGTCACTATCACTAACATGAATAAGTGGGAGGTGAGGGCGGTGTGCAGGAGAGACATCCAGGGGGCAGTTACACAAGTCAAGAGCTCAGGAGAAAGAACAGCTGGGCACAAACAGATTTTTTACAACATCGGTATTTAGGTGTCAGAAAACCATTACCGTGATTGCTATTAACCAGACAGTGTTTCCTGTTTTTAGTCTAGATGCATTAAATTCAATAAATAGGTCTTAAAAATTTACCATAAACGCCCATTGCACCATTTGTTTATATGTGTCCCCTCCTCCAGCTGAAATGTGTTCCTTGATTCCTAAGCACAAGGATCCTTGTGGGCAGAGTATCTATTACAGTACCCAGTACAAAGCAAATGTTAGCCAAATAACTGTCCTGTCACACATGATTTTTCTTCCAAAAATTAACAAAACAATCCAATTTTATCTCATTTATGTTCTAATTATATATTAAAAT